TTGTTCTTGTTGTGGTTGTTGTTGTTATTGTTTGTTTGTTTGTTGTTGCTGTTGTTGTTGTTGGTGCTGTTGGTGCTGTTGTTGCCGTTGCTGTTGTTGTTGTTGCTGTTGGTCGTGCTGGTGGTGGTGCTGGTGGTAATGGTGTTGGTTGTTGTTGTTGCTATTGTTGCTGCAGCTGGTGGTGGTGGTGCTGGTGCTGCTGTTGTTGTTGTGGTTGTCGTCGTGGTCCTGATTTGCACTTGTTAGTGTTGTTAGTGACGGCGCTGGTGCCGTTGTGTTAAGCTGTTATCCGCGCGTCCGAGGCAAGCAGCTCACTGCCGTCCACGGCCCTAGCATAATGCTGTGTGTGTGTGTGTCGCGTCTCCTATTTAACTACCTCTTTTGGCAGAAGCGAAGCCGATCAGGTTCAAACTCTTTTCAGGAGCTTCGCTCGAGATCTAGAGGAGGTGCGGGCATGGAGTTGTCGGTCTGTTTGCGACGTTGACACCCGCTCCTGGTCACAACCGCAAGGCTTTGAAATTGAATGCTTCATTTCTGTGGCTTGCGTTTCCTTGGCTCATGTATGGACATCAAGATTCATCAAGCTGTAAATTAGTTATTCGTCATCATGATGATGTGTGGAATAGTGGCTTAAGTAAGCGAAGCAGCCGACGGCACCCAGACTATGCCGGAGCCTCTAGACTTGCCTATCAATGCCAATGTGCGGCCCCCAGCATGGCCCATCGGAGCATCCTTTTTTCAGCTTTCCCGGCTTGCAGCGCTGCAAGTGCATCACGCGGCACCCTGCGCACAGAGCATGGGAAACTTCTGCAAGCCAAGGCCGTAACATATGCTGATGGTGACCAGGAGGTGCTCGCTGCCGCGATGTTGCGGTTGCGTTTTTTCTGTTGGACAATCGGGGCAGGATTGATTCACAGGGCAAGGCGTTGACTTGCCAGGACTGGCCCATACACGCCGAGCTCTTGGCATCGGCCAGAGTTGCAGCCCTGAAACGCATGCAAATGCCTCAGCCACTCGAGCAGCACTGGCCGATTTCGTTCTGTCGAGGCTTTCGTCCAGTGTTGTGTGGCAGGCAGCTTTCCGGTCTTCAGCTTCAGCGACCAAGCTTTCTGTTCCCAGGCGTGTAGACGGTGCACGGCCCAAGGCCAAGGGCCATCGCTGCAAGGCAATGTAAGCCAGCCAGGTCTCAAAGCAAAGCCGTTTTGGCCCCGAGAAGACTTTCCGAAGGTGTGGGCGTCTCGGTGTCGGCTGGCGTTTTGTTTTCTGGCCTCAGGTGGTTAGCCTGCTCGAGGCCACTATTCTTGCAGACAGCGAGCGATAAACATGCCTGAACGCTAGATGTAGAAGGCCAGGGCTCCGAGACTTTCTGCAGAGGCCGCCGAAAAGGATGCGTAGAAAAGTCACAAACAAACCCTGAAATCTGCACACGAGGTGCACCAGCTTTTGGCTGATGGAGATTGCAGCACTGACAGCGAGGACCGACATGCTGGCGGCTAGGTGTGCCTTGTGCATTTTGGCCCCCTCGATTTTCCTAGCCTGCTACACTGCGGCACTACGGGCTCGTGTCGGGCTTTTGGATGAAACCTTCTAAAGGAGCGCTCCCCGCAGTGCAGGACGGGGAGCTCTTCGCTTTGCAGTAGAACTTACTGATCCACGTGCTTAGTGCAGTGCAGACGCTTTGCAGTTCGGTTCGAGCTGCAGGTTCTGGGTCACCATAGGTCACGTTGCGAACCGTATGACATGTGGGACTCTTGTTGGGTTGTTCTGGACAAAAACGGACGCAACGAGCGCGTGTAGCAGCATAGAATAGCACAGAGCATCCGCTGCGGCTTGGCATGGGATGGACCTCGGGACTCAGATCTTGTCCGGCATTTCTGTTGCCCGTGGCCGTGGACCCGCCTCGGTGCCTGCGTCGGAGCGCTTTGGGCGCAGACCCCGAGCCTTGCGGAGTTTAGGCTCTCGGAGTCGATGCAAAGCGGACAGCGCAGCCTCCCAGCTGACAGCGGGCAGAGCTACGAAGACTGTTCCTTCTGTGCTCTTCCTTCTGTGCGACCTGAGTGTGGCCAGGTTGGCAGTCGTGCACGATGGGCATGGCTCGCCTTCGCACTGGGCGCCAAGCTGCCCCGAAGAGCAGCGACTTGGCAGTGCTCCGGTGCTTCAACAGGCTTCATCCCTAGAGCATCTGATAAAGAGATAGAAAGAGTGTCAGGCAGCATCTGAGAGTTGCTCCCAACCTGCTGCTGTGGTATTTCTACACGGCAGTGGGGATTCTGGCGCCGGGTGGCTTGTCATGAATGGTTTAGGGTTCCGCTTCGATGCTACGGGATCAGGAAGGAAGGAATTCAGGTGTCCATTTGGTGCCAGTACCATACCTGCACTGCTTTTGGTCAGGTAAGGTTGAAAGCATACCTTCGAGCTGTTGATGGTGGCAATTTGCTCGACGAGCTGGCAGTTCAGGGCATAAAAACTTACTGGCCTGACAGCGGTGTGCACCCGCAACCTGGACACAAGGAGTCAGTGTCATTCCTGCTGCCATGGCCCTGTGGTTTTCCGAGGTACACGCTTGCCGGAGGAGAGTCCATGCCAATCTGGTATGAGTCCTGGCAGCATGCACAGAAGAAACGGAGCGGCACGCTTTGTATTGTCGCAATTGCTTTGTAGAGTTTGCTTTATCTCAGGACCGGAAGGGCCTGCCACCTACCGCGCCAGAAGACACTGCCTCTGTCGAGGAGTCTGTCCGCATTCTTGTCAAGTTGCTCGATAAGGCCAATGTTTTTATGTTGCTCGTGTTTAGCACAGTCTGAGCGTCTACGCTGCGTGTGAATTCGGCTGGACAGGTCAGGGCGGATGGTGTTCCGGCAAACCGCATCGTGGTCGGAGGTCGAGATATGTTCGCTCATGTTTTTGATGTGTTGCCCTCACTTGCTACATGCATGCTGCACAAGTTGTTTGTGGTTCGATGTGTTCAAGGCTTCTCCATGGGAGGCGGCATCGCCCTCCAGCTTGCTCTGCGGCATCCGACAAAGATTGCTGCTGCTTTCGTGCTGTCATCCTTCATGTGTGATGATGCAGCTGCCTACGCACTGCTTCAGACTCCACCATCGTGCACGACTTAGCTACTTCAGCTTGTCGAGACTCAAACATGTGCAAAAGCTTGCTATGCGATCGCATGCTTGAAACTCATCGTGAGCGTAAGGGTGGATGTTCCCATCTTGATGATGCATGGCGAGGCATTGCTGGATGACATTGACGAGTTGAAGCTATTCGGGCAAGTGTCCTATAGGCTTCAAGCTGCAACTGTATGCACTTGTGACAGGCTGATTGGTTCATTCGGCCAGTCTGGGGCAGGGCCACGGCGACGCGCTTGAAAGATGCGGGGTTGAACGTCGACTTCGTTTCCATCCCGGGCTTACGTCACGAGATCAGCCGCAAGGACTGTCAGTGCCGACATTGTGCTCGCTACCAACATCGTGACACTTAGTCAGGAGATTGCCCTTCTGCGAAATTGGCTCTGGAATCTGCTCAAGCTGTGAGAGCACCAATGGCGAGAAAGCTGTGAAAAAGGGTACCCAGGCCTTCCTGGACGCTTGACGCGGCTTTCAGCTGATCCCACAGCTTGTCTTCGCCAATGCACCTGCGACGCCAGGATCTCAGGACGAAAGCGTCCACGTGAGGAGCGCCGAGCATGCCCAGCCGCAGCTGCATCAGTTGTGCTTGCGCTTCTGCCACCCCATCGCAGCATGAGCGACATCGGCAGTACAAAGATTATTGAAATGCACTCAGTAATTCCATTTCGCAGAGATGCATAATTGCTGCTTTACATCCCCCTTGACAGTGAATGTTTTCCAAAAATGAAGCGTGCTGAACAAAGAAATGTACTAATTAATCACTGCAGCAGTAGCTATTGCTGCTCTCAAGAGCTTCAGCAATGCCGACCAAAAGCATCAGCATGCAGGCTCTGAGTGGCTCCCGTGTGCAACGGTCATGGAAACGCGTGCTTCGAGTCCGCATCCTGCAGGTGCTGAAGCGCGGGCAGCAGGTGAAAAAGACTGTGGACCTAGCAGAAGGTGCGACAGTCAAGGTGGCTTGGCTTCTTTCGCAAGAGGTGCACAGGGGTGTGGGCATGCGGCAAGTGTCGGAACTCGACTCCCAGGATGTCGTCTCCAAGCTGTCGCAGCTGTTCCCTAGTTGCCTTGACTGGAGTCGATTCTGAGAGGAGGGATCGGATTTCGATGGCCGTAAGATCTGAGACGAGGACTGGGACCTCCAAGTCATCGCTGTTTGTTGCAGAAGTTCGCAATCTCGACAAAGTGCGTCTTTTCAGTGGGGAGGCAGGGTCCAACCGTCGGTTCTAGTGGCAGCGCGGGCTAGGAAGATCTAAGAAGTGGAGCTTCCGAGTGGCTTTTCGTTGCCGATGCCATAGTCAGCATGGAGAAGCGCGACAGCTGGCTTGTCATGAAGACAAGGTCAGCGAAGGATAGTGAGGGCTTCGAGTCTCGTGTTGACCTTTGTCACTGGCGCCTGCAAGCGGTGCGTAGAGCGCGAGCGACGTGGCAGGTAGTGACAATGAGGCGAATGCTGATGCACAAGTGAGGTACCAGGTAATCTTAGCTGGTCTGGGGAACAGGCATCGTTCATTCGTGCCTGTATGATAGCTCTGCAGATCGGAGGATTGCTGCCTACGCACTTCCTTTTGACTTTTCCCGTGGAGCGTTGGAGCAAGCCTCCCAGTGATTGGGGCCTCATACAGTTTGGAGTTCGGAACAACGAGCGGTGACGGTTGGGGCGGGGACTGAGATGAACGTTTCATTCCACACATTTTTCGACAGTGCCGGAAGCATCCTTGGTGCGGGGCTGGCCGTTGGTAAGCAGGTTCAGAAATATGTCCGAAAGGCTGACAGGTGACGGGCCATGTGGTTGGGGGCTAGACTCGGCTGGACTCAGTCGGACGCATGCAGAAGGTGCAAACCGCGAACGCCTGTCGGCCGGGCTGGCCTTTCTAGCATGAAGTGCTTTATCCTGCTGTTCGACCATCGATGCAGCACGGAGGCTCCAACGGGCACCTTTGAAGTTGGAGGCTTGGAGACCATCGAGGACAGTCGACTTCGACTCAACCTCCGAGTGGACTGTAGGGATGCCGGGATGCCTTTGCCGCTCGTAGTGTCCAGGATTTGCCAGAGGTCATCCACGTGGAGTACCTTGCTCAGATTACACATTGACACGTTCCGCTGGCCTTTGCCGAAAGCCATTCTTTCCTTCAGAAACTGTGTGCCCTTTGCAGAAGTTGCGTACATTTACATGCTCACGTCGCGGTGTTGCATTTGAAGAGCATTCTACATTCAGCATCAGCGGTGTTGAAAGTACTTGGAGCAAATAAGGAGTTGCACGAAGTTCCGTGTGGATGTATATCAGAAACAAGACAGGACTAGACAAGTCAGTGTCAGTCTCCCTTCAGGCACCAGGTGAAGGCGCTTGGACTGCAGGAGTCGCTGCAGAGCCTCAGCACATTTCAGTTTGCAGGCCTTTGTTGGATGAGCCGAACGCTCTGCCGAGGCTTCTGGATGATCTGATCGTTGCTTATAAGGCCGTGAGTCGGCTGCAAGACAGTTTGCAGACCACTTGGACCGCGCAGCTGCGATGATTTGGAGGCGTCTTGGTGCTGCCTAGGCCGATTTTCAGGAGAGCCTCTCCAGGTTCCAGCAATCATTCCTGGACGGTCAAACGGACATCCGTCAATACAGCGTTCTCCTGGATCCTGTGCTGAAGCTCATTACATGCGAAGATTCGTCCGTTGCATGATCACACTTGACTATTATGAGACACTCTTTACGACCTTACAGTGCTGATGAGGCAGACGTGGCAGGACATGCGCAGGAGCCTGTGTTTGCCAAGTGGGGATATGATGCCACCACTTCCGGAAGGATGGAGCCACGCCGACAAATTAAACCGCACAGCCGGGAAACTGGAGTTATCGTAGAGATGCTTCCTGTCTGCTTCCTGCCATGAAATCAAATTTCTTAGCATGCCTCCCGAGGACATGTATGCTGCCATGCTGGATGTGGCAAATATGGAAGAAGTCAGAACAAAGCAGCTGCAGGTTAACAGGCTGTTCCCCGGCAGAGCGTTTCTGCTTCGGTGATCTCTGCTTCTCCGGCACATGGACGAAGCAACACAACTTCAAGTTTTGCATTTTCATGTGCTTCAGTTTGTTGGTGGCATCCCTGCGGCCGATGACATCGGACAGAATTTAGAGTGGATTCTGGCTGCGCGATTCTCGTTCTTTTGCCTTTGAGGCTTGGACAGACTTTCGAGTGGCTACCAGAAGCAATGAGACCGGCTTTACCGCCTTCATGAGTTCAGTATGTGTGGGCTTCAATGCTGGCCATTTGAGACTTGGTAATTGCTGCACTCGTGTGCAAGACTTGATACATCGTGCAGCAGTTCTGAGCAGGTGCTGCTGCCAAGGATATTGAACATGCACCGCTGTGCCCTTTGCCTTTGCTGTACATTGATTTGCCTACGCGGGCTCAAAGGGTGCGAGGGTTGTTCGCCGAGAGATACATGAAACGAGCAACTCTGCCCCAGTGTTGCAGTCCCGCGTTGCTGGTGCAGGAGGCAGCTCAGAGGCGCCGTACAAGGCGGAGAGAAATAGCTGTAAGGTGCGAGCCAAGTAGCCTTAGCAGCCCCTGCTGTCTTGGCCAGCTCTTCCCACAGCTGCTCTTCTACCACATGTGCCTCCAGGAAACTTGTAGACTGCTCGTTTGCGAGGCCAGTTGCTTGGCAACCGCAGGGCGAAGGTCTGCATTCAGGCGACCCAACTTTGACGTTGTCTGGACCTCGAGCCCCGAGGGCATGCAACACCCGAGTAGGTGTTTGGCTGAAGCTCGAGATCTGGAGCAAAGGAGGAGCGCAACGAATGCCTGATGCAGCTTTCGGATCGTGTGCTCCCCAAGCCCAAGGCTTCGCAGCTGACGAGGCCCGTTCTCGGGCCGCCCGAGGGCGGAATTCGGGCGTGTTCCAGCTGCAGAGTCTGCAGGCTACGCCGGAGACTGAGGCTGCGGTCTCTGCAGCCATGGGTGGCCAACCTACAGTCCTTACAATCGGATGCTTTCGGATCTAAGCGATGCCCCGCACCTGAGAAACGGGGGAAGCCATGACTTCTGCGCCTGCGCCTAAGATCGCAGAACGCTGCACGTCTGAGACCGCCGCAAGCATGCATGACTATGCTCCAGGCCTGGCCGTGCTGCCCTGTCGCTCCTGACGCTGGAGCCCTGATGTACTGTCCTGGCTGGAGACCTGCATCCGGCATCGCACGTCGCAGACGCAAACATCGCTCGGACAAGTGTTTAGACATTACCTGCTATTGCCTCTCAAGCACGTCTTTTCTGAAGTGTAGGCATCGTTCCTGGATCTGCATCATTCCACGGCGCTACAAAAATCGCCATATTTGTCGAAGTTTGAAAGTGCTATGATGCCATTCGGGGAATGCCTATCTTCGCAGCTCTGCAGCAAATGTCGTTGCTAAACAAATGTAGCCCATGATGGATGGCATCTCGATGCAACAAATTCATGGTGAAAGCCTCGAAGCACGGGATTTGCCTGGTCGCTCCTTCATCCATTCATCTCGAAGTTGCTGTATCAGATGGAAATGGATTGCGCGACTTGCTTGCAAGTCGGCAACTCATCTCACAGGTGTCCAGTTTCAAGCTTCAGACAATTTCAGATGCTTGACAGCGGTCAATATGAGCCAAGTATACTCACGGGATGTCATGGGATAAAGCATAGGCAGAACTCAGGCTTGCGGTCCTGATTCTGGCAGCTACAGCATGCGTGGCTGCTTTCGTGCTTGCAAGAACACCAGCGACGCTTGGTTTTGTTGCTTTTGGAACTTCCATCGGCAGATTTGGGCGGGTCCAACTTGTCTGCGCAATACTTGCGGCGAGAAATTCAGGGTGATGCCGGCGACTACAACAACGGCTGCGCAGATCATCACCTCCACAAGCTCTGAGCCATTCAGTCCATGGTGTGAAGGAACCGCAGAGAAACAGGCCCTAGGCGAGAGAGTCGTTTGTGGGGCAGCCTGATGGCAAAAATGCCCTGAAGGAGCAAACGTTTCATCTCTATCTCTTCCCAAAGCGGGATGGTGTTTTTGCTTGTATGGCGGCAGGCCGTGGAGAGAGCAACCGTCTTTCGGAAGGGAGCGTGAGAGTTGAGGGCTAGGCGACCTTGCAGACTGCGTGCCACGGTCAGGGGTCACACGCTGACTGCAGGTGCATCAGCCATTTCAGCTGTGCGGGCGTCGCGCTGCGGGAATGCCAGCTGGATGCTTGCGGCGAAGCTTCGCTGGAAATCACTGCGTCCACCGCATCATTTCGAAACATCAGGAGTGGGGTTGCCAAGTGTCAAGCTCCTAGCTGATCTGAGCTTGGTGCCCGGAGGCTTGACAGCGACATCCTGAGCATACCAGTAGAGTATTTCCGAGACATCAAGCGGCTCTCTGACCAATGTCGGAGCCTGAGCACTGGCACTGCCGAGCTGAGCAGCCCTGCTCAGCTCCCAGGAGTATGGCCGTCGTTGCTTAGCATCTCAGGTCCAGAGCATGCTTCGCAACTCTTGGAGGCACTCCTTGCAGCAGGGCGACGCGCCGCTGGGAGGCAATGGAGATGGAAGCTGGAAGCGAAGCCTGTGGCCTCCGGTGGCCTCCGGTGGTTTTTGTGTGACCTCCCGTCATCTCCGGTGATTTTGAGTCAGTGTCATTCTTGAGACTCGCTGACACCAAGGTCTTCGTTTCGACAGCTGCAGGCGGGCCTGGTGCTCCGCAGCCTGAATTCCAATGCGTGCACCTGCGCCCTGGATGCCTTGGTGGGATGTTCCTGATCTTCCTTTGCGCCCGTGGTGCCTGTGCATACATACACATGCATACATACATAGCATATACAGCCATAGGCCCTAGAGCCTTAGAGCTTCATGGCGCAGTCGTGCGTTGTCCACAGCCTCACGGCTGGACAACCTCTCCCAAGCACTTTCAGCTCGAGGACCTTCGAAAGCTGCATTCCTGACTTCACATCTCCCGAACTACAGGTCACGGGCTCCTGTGGCAAGCGTGCTTCGTGCTTCTGCTAGACGGAGTTGCATAGAATCCCTCCCCTCTCCCCAAACGGCGCCCCCCTCCATGCTTGCACCCTCCGCCATGCCCTTACCATACCGAGAAACTCTTGGAAACGCTGAACAGCGCGGCTGTGTGTGTGTGTGTGTGTGTGTGTGTGGGTTTAGACTTTGGGGCTTCTCGGACGGTTCAAGACCTCCGTACTCTAGTTTGCCAAGAAGAGCTCGATCTTCCGAAAAACAGAGACTTGTAGTGCACGATCATGCCTGTATGATCGGAAGGTCCTGAGATGCTGTCAAGAGTAAGTAAGCAGTGTATCAGCGCAGCAAGAAGCCAAAGAACACAGAGTACATGAAGAGCAAGTTTCACGCGAAGAAGTTCATGTGGGAATGTCACGTGCCTCTACTGCTGATGCCAATATGAGGAGGCAAAACTGTTGCATATATGAACATGTGGTAAGCTGTCGCCCCGCCCCACGTGCCAACGGTCTCGCCAACATGCCAGACGACCGAGAGACTCTGGCAAGAATAACATACAGAGAGCCTTCTTTGGAAACTTTGGGGACCTCTGCATCTCGAAAACCTCTGTGCCTCTCTGCATCTCGGGGACTTTTTCTATATTCGGCAGCCCAGCTTCCAAACTCTAAGCCCTGTGCATAGACCCAGGCTGGAGGTGGGCGCATGGGACTAGTTCTATGCTTCGTCTATATCTAGCTTTTTGGGGCGCATCTCTGATCTCCGATGAACTGTGGAAAGTAGTGCACACGCAGCTGGATCCAAATTCGATCTCCTTGCTTACTTTTTGGCCAGCGCTTCGGGTTCTTAGCCAAAGCTATACTGCAGGACTGTAGCTCAGCGTGTGCCACATCGGCCCCCAGTGTATGAGCATCCCTGCTGCCTCCGCAAGCGGTTGCCGGCAAGTGCTTGTGTTTGTCACAGTAGTTGCCGTAGTTGTAAATGCGCACATCCCAGCGTGCACCCTGCTGATATGTTAGTCTTGTAGATTTTGCTTTTTCGATTGCCGCCGAGTCCCGTAGATCTGATGCTGCTGCCCGTGTGTAATGTGAGAAATGTTGGGAGGATACAGAATCTCCATGCAAAGTACCTGTGCTTCATCCGTTCTTTCGAACTTTCCAGGGTGTTGCGGTGCTGTTGTATTTGCCGGAGGCGTTGGTTCCGGTTGGGCACAGGGCTTGTTAGCGGCAACGTCACGATGGGACACAGTCTAATCTTTGCAATTGCATGACTTCGAAGAGCTGCGTTGTGCTCTACTCAGGTATCCGTACGTCTCTGTACCATGGCTTCATGTGCACACCTTCATCGGGTCTGTGCCATCAGAAAAGCTGCCGGGCAGTCCGCCAGTTGCAGCCTGTGCATCGGCAGCGGCAACTTGGCATTCGTGGCAGCAGAAGAGGACATAGGGTTTTGCACTCTGAAACAAGGTATCCGAGGCTGCTGCTGCACAGCACATTCTGGCACTTGCACGCGGATGACAAGTACGTAACTGAGCCGGAACCAGGGAGGCTTCGCTTCGTCTCCTATGCCGTGAACATGCTCCTTGCAGCTTCCGTAATGGGCCGCTGGATGGTGGGGTTGTTGGTGGCGCTGTACCTCGCGAAGACTGAAGTTCAGGCAGGCTGACTATAGCGAGTGGGCGATCACAGCCTCTCGCAGGGCGCTTCAACAGCCACCCGATAGGTGGTTTGGAATCGTGCCAGCCAACATGCACCGATGCGCGAGACAAAATGAATTTGCGTGGTAGATCTTGGTGGAACTGAGATGTTGCATTCAGGGTTGCGACTTTCTTTAGATTTGTGCCCCTCTGCTTGCTCCGGGGAAACTCAAACGGTCGACGGTTCAGTCGTGTTTCTAGTAGTGCGCAAAGCCCTTGCAGAAGTGCTGAAGACAGAGAGTCTCAAAAGGGTCGGCATGCTGCGACGTGTTGCTCAGGAGAAGGCGGTCTGTTTGCTTGTTCAAGGGGTGAAGGTTTAAGGTTGTTGAATGTTGTTGATGTTCTGGTCTCATCCTTCTGCTATGGCGTCGTCTTTACCTCTATCCACAGGTTCTCAGGTTGTGTGAAAGTTAGATTTGTCCTCTTGCACTTGGTGATCAGAGAGTGATGCCGGGTCTCCATTTTGCTGCCTCATGGAAGAATCACTAAACAGGATCAAAATGCAGAGCCCAAATTGCAACTTTTCCGAGGCGACTGTTTTTTGTCGAAGAAAACGACCTTGGGGAACCATCCCGGACACGGGTTATGGGCATTGATGGGGCAGTGGGGCTCTGCTCTAAACTCTCAAGCGACTGTTGCTTGAAGAAATGCGCGTGCAGAGGCTTGGAGCTACGATCATGCCGCATTGCGGGCCAACCAACCATCGACTGAGGCCGAGCTCTCGTAAGTCGTGTCGTCGCAGAGGGCCTTGTGGAAGGCTTCATTTGCCCTTGCTGCTTCCCGGTGGAGCGCAGCGGATGTGCGGCCTCACAGTGGCCGGCGAGACGCGTGATTGGGAGCTTCACAGGTGCTCGTGAAAGCGGAGGATCTTGACTTCTCTTCGCCAAGTCTAGCTTTTGCATGCTCTTGCCTAAGGCAAGCTTCGTACTCCGTACAAGGAAGTACAAGGAATAGTGCCTCGTTTACATGGAGGGCAGCGGGCGTGAGAAAGTGCAGGTGCCTGGTCTTCGATGACAGCTTTGAGCACGAGATACGGCTACAGACTTACAATCGGCACAATTTTGAAGAAGCTAAGCATTCACTTGCCGTTGCCGCCAGGCTTCCACCGAGTGAAAGCGACGAACCTGAGCCCAGCCTGGCTCAAGAAGCGAGAGCCCGGACGCCCGGCGACGCACGGACTAAGCGAGGAAGGCACAGCTCCTTGGAGTGGTCTCTGTCAGGTCGTGCTGCTACTGGACCTGTGGCATCCGGACGCAGACGAGAATCTCAGGCCTCCACGCCCCTTCATAGTGATTAGTGGAGTTTATGAAGGTTTCGGGCACACCAGCCGCAGGTCTGGAAGCTCGAAATCCGTTGCGAGCGCGGAAAATGGGTTTCAGCCAAGCTTGCAGTTACTTGCACTTATCCTCGTGGAGCTGCTAGACTTCTTGACTGCACCCTCTCCGGTCACAGGGCCTCAAGCAGGTTGACGGTGACTCCTCGGGCAGGGAGAGCACACGAAGAAGCAGGTCCAAGCAGGCTTGCAGCCCTTGCTGTCTTTGCGGTCTTGTGAGACGTCAGCCGACAGGGCATCACTTCGACCAACTGACCAGCCGCCCAAGAGCTTAAAGCTCCTCTGGGCAGAGAAGCCGATGTTTCTCGGCCTCCGGGTTGCCGTTTCTTTGCCCAAAGTGGCAGTTTCACACCAAAACCGATCCAAAGGCGTGACGGTACAGATTGGGAACAAGTTCTGCTGACGGGGCGACACTTGGTCCATGGGATTGCTGTCATTGCATGCTACAAGTAACAGACGGGGGCTTGAGAAGCCGCTGTCGCACGTTGCAGTAGGCTTAGCTGCACGACGAAAGCATAAGAGAGCATACCGTCAGTGTATTATTTTACTTTGTGCAGTCTAAATGTGCGGACAGTGCTTGAGGAATGTGCAAGACTCGCTGCAGCAATCTAGGCTCCAATTGCAGCGATGCACATCGATGCATATTTGCTGCCCCCAGCTGGCCTCACTGCCAAGCCTTTGCAACGCCGGACGGCTAGATAAGTTGATACTGCATACCTCACCCCCTTGTTTCCTGCCCGAGACAGCGCAGTGCTTCCAAAATCAGCAAATAGATAGCAAGAAGAAATGGCACGAGCTATGGAAGAAAAAGAGGAGCAAGAACCGCCTAGGAAGAGGAGGCAGCTGTCGAAGTTCCAAATTCCGATGAAATCCGGCAAAACTGAAATCGGCACGGCGGAAGCGTGCCCTATTCTTGCCCCACAAGCGAGTCAGGATTTCGAGGCCTTGGACCATGAGACCGACAGTGCGTGGAAAGAGACGGGAAAGTCGCAACGGACTTTGTCGAGACTTCAATCAGCCACGGAAGAGACAGCGCAGCAACTTCCCAGCCTTTCATCTGCCCAGGACTTGTTGTCTGATCAGACAGTGCACTGCACTCTCAGACTCTCAACAAGCTGCATGTCCTGGAAATGGCTCAGACGTTTGCCGACAGCTCTGCTGTGCCAACGGTGTGATAAAAAAGATCTCAGTGATCCCGTACGAGCTGCGGCTCTCGAAGCCTGCAGTGCTAACCTCCCCGGCCTCCTGGCCAACAAGGCCGACAAGAGCAAAGCGGTGGCCTGGCTTGGTGCGATCGCTGCCAACCTCTCCTGGTACGAGCTGGAAGGCCCCACACGAACCTCTGGGCAGGACGAGGTTCAGGATGTCCAAGAGTGGGACAAGGCTTATGGAAGCTTGTGGCTGTTGCTCCAGCAGGGTGCGCTGCCTTCATTCAGCATCGAAGCAGAGCGTTTCTCGGTGCTTGTTTTCGGTGAAGGCGCTGGGACATGGACATCGCCTACCGACCGGCAGCAAACAAAGCCTTCTCGCACCGAGCCTTTTGCGATTCTGTGGCCTTCAAGCCGTGAATTGAGGAGTATGCTGCAGGAAAACCGTGTGTACTTTGACGTAGCATCTCCAGCATTGCATCAGCAAGCTTCGACAGCTGAGCTGCCGAAATCCTCGGTGGGTGACAGCTGTTGCGCTGGTGGCTCAGGTGCAGTTGTTCCGCTTGTTGAGGGGGGCACAAGTGCCGAGAACTGCGTGCCCCAGGCAACGAGGCAGGACTTATTGGAATTGCGACGTGACGGCGAGCGGGCAAAGACACCGGGAGATGGAGAGCACGACTTCAAAAACAAAACGGCCTTGAGATTTCAAGGGAGCTGGCGGGTCCACTTATTGCTGAATGCACTCCGACAGCACTTCCTGGGACACCCAATGGCTTCTGCCGTCAAGATGCGGGATGCCAAGAGAGGGCTGTCACACAGCCCGAGGCCCTAGGCCCTAGGCCCTAGCTTTTCTGAGCCAAGGCCTCAGAAGTTGCCGAAGTTGCTGGCTCCTGCACCCTTTGCCAATTCAGCCGTGCTTCCGGGCATGTTTCAATGCCACTTGCTGCGCCTGCCTGCGTTGGTCTGCTTTCACGGCAGGTGAAGTCGGTGCAAGTCGTGTCGCGCCAAGTCCGTCATGTCGGCAGAGCAGTGCGCCTGACGCAGACACCGAGCGAGGACAGAGCAGCCTACCACCCGGCAGGCAACGAAACTGGAGGCGATTCACTTGTCAAATGAGCTGCACCTACAACCAAAGACAGGTAGCCTGCCGGGTACTTGCCACTGTCTGCGCAGGTGGCGAGTTCTTTGCAGAACTTCGAGGCTGTCGTCAGTTTTTAATGTGCGGACCGCTGCATCTGCTTCCGGCTTCTTGTAACTAAGGCAGATGGTTTCCTTCTCAGACTCGGAATTTCCTCGAGCAGCACGCCAAGTTCGTATCTGCCACCTTCTGCCCGACGAAGACGGCAGCTTCTTTGCAGGCTCTTGCGTGTCATTGTGCCGAAGTTCAGTCGCAGCCCTGGCTGCTTAGAATCTAACCGAGAAATCCTGCCATGCGATGCCGATGGAGTGATGAGAAGGCTGTACGTTTACGTCTCCGCTGCGACACGGGCCTGGCTTGGGCCTCTGTCAGAATGTGTCGCCGTTGTTCCAGCATCAGCATGGCTGGTCGCTGCAGGCTCGAACGCGTTTACGCAGCTGGGGCAGAGGTGGCCGTCTGGGTCCATCGCGGGATGCATGACAAGTTTCGACGAACTGGGACAGGCGAATTGCGGCAGTCCGTTCCGAGAAAGACAGCACGGATCCTTGACTGTGGGCAAGCGTGGGGGGTGATCACATGTACCGAATTCAGGTTCGGGCACGTGGCCTGGGGCTGAGTTCTCTCGCCTGGCAATTCGCGAGCATCCCACAAAGCGCCAAGGAAGTGGCTCTTCGACGTGGTCTAAGCCTCGCTCGCGAGGCATTTGTCACGGACCACAGCGGACGGCTAATTCTAGCGGTCGGAGCCAAGCACAAATTTGGCATGTACAGCGGGGAGCTCATGGCAACCTGACCGGGCTTTTCCATGTGAACAAGATGCAGCGCAGGGGTGCGCTGTCAAGCGAAAGAGAGCAGCTGCAAAGATGCTATTCTTCAAGTTCTTCGTCAAGTAGTCAAGTAGTCTTTGCTGAAGCTGTGCTTGACTGGTCGGCCCTTCGCCAGCTGCTGAATAAAGTTACAGGATTTCGGTAGAGCTTGTTGATGTCGCAATGCCCCAGGCACGCGCTTAGTCATGTTCTTAGTCCGTTGTCTGGGACGCTTGGTAGCCAGACAGCTGTGGGACAGGTGCCTGTAAAGCGATTACAGCTCCGTGGCAGCATTTGGCAGTGTGAAGAAGACGTAGAATGGTGGCTCACTCTCCACATGGCGGTGCATGACGCCCTGCATAGTTGACAGTGTTTGCCACAGCCAGGCAACACAACTGGCACTATCTACAACCTCAGCACAAGCACGCACTACAGAGGGGGGAGAGGAGGCCACAGCAAACAAGCGCAAAGTCAAGCCATTCGCACAGCAGGATTTGTCAAACCACTCTAACGGTACATGACGGTACCGAGTGAGTCAGGCAGTACCGACAGTGCTGCAGCCGTACAGTACCCGTGCTGGAAGATCTTCAGGGAGCAGACGAAAATCATGACGAGCTTGCTATCTACTGCGCTGAAAGTATGTCTCAGGGCTTTCACTTGTTGCTGTGCCCATTTTGAACGGGGACCCTTACCGATGCCCCTCAGCTTCGTCGAAAGCTTCCTGGTTTTGCCCCAAAGCCCAAGCTCTGGCCACGGTTCGTTGCGCTTCTAGTTCTGTATTACGCATTGCTGCTGGCGCAGAAGCTTTTTCGGCGTACTCCCACGGTCTCTGCCTTGGTGGTCGTCGCCTTCCTATGCCATTTCCACTGCGTGTACCCAGCCTTGGGCCCCAACAGTTCTGGCAACAAACTTCAGCCTTCAGCACTAACTTGTCACATGACCTGTGAATTCGAGCGAAAGACATGGACAGCTTATGGAAGAAACTCAGGCCTTCCGAATGCCCTAACTACGACGAGGTCAACATCCCGTTTCCCAGGGACGAGGCAAATATGAAAACACGCAGTTTGCCATTGCGATTGAAACATGAAAATGCAACATGAAAGCTCCGTTTCACATAGAGCGAAGTGGTAAAACAAACTCAGCCTGAAGTCATGCGGCCTCACAGTCCGGAGCGCACAGCACACTGCAAGCATCTGCAAGCAGTATGCCTTGGTCAACATGATTCAACATGGTAGATTACTGGAGGCAATTCTGGACCAAAACCCGGTGGACATCGGGGGAACAAGATGCGATTATTTCAAAGTAGTGGCCACTCTGCGGAAGCATGCCAACAAGCTTGAACCGGGTGATCCTCCTAACTTGGCTGGCTTCATTAAGGAGGCCAGAAGATGCTAAGGGAGTCATGGACTAGATGGTTGGACCAACTTTAAGATCAAGTGCTGACCAAACGCCGCTTAAAGTGAAATTTGGGACTCTCTGGTTGAGGCTATGCATGCTGGATGCGCGCCTGACATCTTCCAACATGCCGGAGTGGTGATGCTCCCAAAGCCCAACAAAGTCAATGACCATGGGCAAATCAAGCCAGAGGGTTTGGGGCCTAGATCTGTAGCGTTTGGTGGAGAGTATTCTCGACTACTCGGGCCGGGTTCCGCAGGGCCGGAAACTATTGCGGCGATTGCAGACAGCCAGCTCAACGGGAGGCCTATTTGGCCACTCTCATGCCCTTGATGTTGTCTCGGCTGTATGAGAAAGTGACGGGTAAGCTTCGACCTGGTTCTATGTTGGGTGGAAATCGTAATGTGTGCACATTCGACCGCGGTTCGCGCACCTGAAGCGGATCCAGCCTCACCGTTGGCATTGGCAATACTCTTGGCCTTGGCGGTTGGGGATACTTGTCAGGAGGACGGCTTTTGCAGCAAGCAGTTGATTTACATGGATGATCGAAACATGTTCGCTTCGACTGCGCATCAGGTTAAAACGATGGCGCAGTGTTCTCAAGATGAGACCGCGGCTATGAAGTTCATTGAATTGGGTGGTGTCGTGCCTGAAAAATTCAACAACTTCCAGCTCAAAATCGCCTACAGGATGCGATGCGCAACGGGCATGACCTAGATTTAGTGGGCACGATTGTTGCACTCCACACTTTCGTTCCGCTTTCTGAAGTGATGTATGGAGCGATCGCTCCGCCACCTTCGAAGCAAGAGGTTTCATATGCAGTATGACAACAAGCTCTGGCGAATGGAGGGTAAGTTGATTTAGTGGTGTCATCTGAGATCGTTGATTGGCGGTACCTTAACCAGTGCACTCCAGCTTCAGCTCAGACGCCGTGTTAAGCAGGTAGAACCGGTGCATCTCTCTCGAGAGTCGATTGAGCAAGATGTCCTTTCTAGGCGCTTTTTGTGAGATCCGCAATGGATTCCGTTCTATGAGTGTTCTATGCTTCCAAAGCGAAGAAACAGTTGCAGTGACAACGAATCTACACGGCATCCATTCGGTTCCGACTTTCGTGCTCTCAGGGTCACTCCGTATTGGTTTCGTTGAGGCGAGCTTTAGACAACGACTACCACCTTACGAACATTATCCTTGCGGTAATGCTGGTAAGTTTCATACCAACCGCGACGATCAGTTCCTGCGCCATCCAGCACTATACGAGTTCCTCATCTAGCCATGCTGCCTTATGCCTAGATCTTAGATCCTTCGGGCCGAACCAATGTTGTTCGCCCTCTTCAGCACTGCTCCACTTCCTGTGTAGGGTTTCATTTCGGAACCTGTTTTGTTAGTTTTTGACATGTTGAAGCCATCGTGCAACTAGACTTGTGCGCCTTTCCGACCCTTGATCACGACGAGAGAGTTGGATCCATCTCTTGAGAGGAATGCCAGTATTTTTTCGGGCATTCGACAGCCAGCCATTTACCAGAAGGCCGGCCAACTTGCATGGGCACTCCAACACATCCAGGAAAAAACGTAGAAGGCATGTGTTTGAATAGGCAGTTGTTCTCCGTGCGTGACACGCTTCTCAGCATCTTTCCTCCCCGCCTGGTACATGTTTGCGTGATCGAGTCGCATACAGTTGGAAGACCCAGCCACGGATGCAGACGACCATTATCAATAAGCAAATCCAGATCTTAAGGACTTTCCGAAGGTACATAATCTGAAAAGGCTTTGGCTTTTCCCTGTATTCAAAGGTCGCCGTGCGTGCTCGTTTCAGTTCCGTATAGTAATACCGAAAGCATACAAGCGTGGACGACCTGGATTTTACTTGAAAGGGACAACTGTGTAGCGTCCCATGGCTAGACGCAAGTCGCCACATCATCCCCGCACCCTTGTGCGTGCGTACATGCTCCTGGAGAACTGCAATCTTCTTCTCAAACTTGACCGTATCGGATCCGTCTAGTTCTTCCGCCGCACGAGGTGCCGGAAGTTCCCTTTAAATGGGATACCAGTGCCTCAGTTCTTTCTACGAATTTCGTCAACGCCCCATTGTTTATTCAAAGCTTGCAATTCCAATTTCGACAGCTTTCCGGCCCACAGTGTTGTACTGTGTGGTGCATGCTTGCCGTTTCTTCCAGCCATCCTTGATTCCTCAAGGACTGGGCGCGTTTTCCTCTTTGCGGCAGCTCTGGCCATATTGTCCAGGCAAACCTGCCTTTTGAGATCATTCGGTGATGCGTGTTTCTGGTCAAGCTTCAAGCTTCTACGAGAAGTCACTTGTGGCAATATTCTGACAGGCATCTTCCGGCCACATTTGCTGGGACATGTCCAAGGTGTGATCTGTCACGGCGTTCGGATGACAATGTTCAAGAGCTTCAGGGAAGTTGGTTCCTGTTCCTATCGATGGCGCAAGGCCCCGACAGCTGAATGTTCTGGTTGCTGCAGACCAGCGAACAGGCATTGGTAATACATGGTTTTGCAGCGAGAAGTTGTGAGACGCAGTCTCTGATTGCTCGGTCGAAGGCTCCGTCGGAGGCTCCGGGAGCGCGGATGCAGAGCCCGAGCAGGTTCGCACCACGCACGCCACGGCCTACCACAACACCCGAAAAGAGTCTTCGTGTCTTGTCATTGCCTCTTGCTGTCCAGGCCATGGTGCTAGAGGAAGAGTTCAAGAGGCAGGTGACATGGTTTTTCTGGCGATTTGATTGACAGATTTTGGCCCGGTGCCAGCAATTTGCATAGACCCGAAGTCGCACTACAGCCATACAAACAAAACGATTAATTTCTGGATGCTCAGGCTCGCATAGGCGGGGGGAACCATGTCGTGAATCAAGTGGATGAGGGCCCTGGACCTTGTCCACATCCTTGCATAGAGAAGCAACTGCGACAGGGTTCCGGGACAGTGTTGGCAGTTTGAGAACCCTGACCTTAGTCATGTCCGGATATGGACCTCGGTGCAAGTAGCACTATGGAAACAGCAGGAGTACACAAATTGTGTTTCGTTATCGGCGGACCTGGTGGCTGTCTATAACAATCTCTTTCAACCTCGGGCCCGGGCAGGGGTGAGACCCTGGAACATGCGTCTTGGCCGCATTGTCGAGCTCAATACTTGCCTGCTGGGAGTTTATCGATCTAAGCTTTGCTCCACTACCACCTGAGGAATTTCAGCGAGTGCTCGAGGCAAGACCACCAGCACTACGTTTTCTTCGTTCTTGGTTCTCATCAGTTCTCCTCCATGAATGTTGTCTGGACATCACGGTGTGCGACATCTGATCATCTAGGAGCCCCAGCATTGCTTCTAAATTCTCGGGTGCATCTAATCTTTCTGCAACTGGAGTTGTAGCATGGCATCGTGCACCATGTTTCGATCGGTGTGCAGATGTGTGCAGGCACGGGCCAAAGGGAGCGACATCCAGCGCGAGCCAGGCCGGAACGTTCCCTCGCGCGACAATGAATGCAGTGCGCGCAGCGATGCACGAGGCCTGGAAGCCAAGAGCGATTTTGAGGCGAGGCAAGATCTTGCGGCGAGTTTTGTTTCGTCTTTCGTTTCTGCCTGCGCAGATTGCAGTGCGCGGCGGTGTCCGCTGGGCTGGAGAACTCTTCTCTGGCATTGACTTCAGCAACGGAGTGACATGGGTGTGCCTGCCACGAATGCCCAAGAATTGCAAGTGCGCAAGAAAGCCCTTCAATATGGTCTGTTTGGTCAAAACCTATCCTGATGCTGTTGGGCGGTAGCCGAACTCAGAGTTTGCGATGTCTCCTCGCGCATACATGACTCGTAGGAGGTACAACCTTGCATCAGAAGTTCAACTTCTCTTAGACAACATTCGGCTACGGTTCCGTTCTGTATAATATGATTCGGGGATACGCTGCAGGACCCGATGTCCTGATGGTTGACGCTGGAAGTGAGGTATTGGGACTTACTGTCGTTACGAGTCTGGTCTCGCTTGGTTATGGATTTGGTGTTGGTTTGGGTCTCGATTCGGCTGCGCTTATCGTTGCGATTTTCGCTGCTATACCTGAGTATTAATGTATGCACCCTCGCCAGGGTCAATGTCGATGTGATGTTGATATGACACGGACTCGACCTCGCATGGACAGCTGCCCCTTGTGTTGCGCTCCAGGCCGCGTCCCCGTGACAAGCCAGAACGGCTCAAATGTTCGAAATTTCGCGAGCTAGCATCTGCGTACAGTCAATCGCGAAGCTGTATCCAATATATAGTGGGCAAATCACGTGCAAGTCGCATGCAAATTCAACCGGCATTGACATGTATGTCTTTGATGAGGCTGCATGCCAATCGTATTTGTCGAATGATAGCCCTAGGCCAGAGTCAAAGCCGTAACCGGCTTCAGGCTTTCTCAGGCTGGCTTTCACAAGCACCTAACTACTGATGCTACTGCATGAGTCAGGAAGGGCTTGGAATGGGTTGGCCAGCAATGCCTCCAGTGGGCACACGCAGGCCGAAAACTAGCTAAATAAAGAGCTGGCTGGAAGCTGCTGCAACTTTTGTCATGCAGCAATGGAATGGTGCAATGCTCGGGGCAAACACATCAAGCGAGACATGCGCAACTCCCCCCTGTAAACGATGACCTCGAGGCAAAGTCCTTCCGGAAGCGGATTCATCGAGCTCGCCCAATATTACAAAGAGACAGAAACTATTTTGAAGTCGTTGCGGCAGGGCAGTATGCCAGAACAAACCACTGGACTGCGGCAAGCCACTGCTTAGCTTCGCTACGTGGGATCAGAGAAGCTCGATGTCATGACTCTCACTACGACCAGTATGTGCAAGACATCGTGGATGATGCCAGCAGTGCATGTGTCAGAAGCGGCCGATGGGAGGCTGCGGTAATGCTTCTTCGAAGTTACGATGTCCACAGAGGCTTCCTTGGCCATGAAGCGTCTGCTGGAAGTTTGAATCTTCACCAAGCACCGAGTCGCCAGAAACGCCATGAAGTTGGCATGGGAATAGGGGCAAATGGACGCTGGAGACAATCACTTGCCTACTTTACCTTCCTGGTGCACTTGGGCATGCGCCTGTATCAGCCTTACTACAGCGTGACGATGCACTCTTGCGGCGAAGCACTTCTCTGGACATGGAGCCTCGAGCTGCTACAGCACCTCTGCCTTTCGAAAATAGCCGTGGACAGACAGAGCCCTCAACATGTTGCGCCGTTCGAACAAGTCGCACATGCATGCCGACAGGCAGGTACCCGGTCCAGTGCCTTGAACGCGCTCAAGATTCTGCAGACTGCCCGTCGGCTCTCTGCAGCAACGTGGATTCTCCACGTAAAGGTTATGGGTGCTTGCAGCCGCAGTGGAGATTGGGCGAGCGCTTTGTGGGTGCTTGAACAAGTCGGGGTGGACGGAGTTCGGCCAAATCTTCGGACCTACACGGCTGCACTGACTGCTTCTGGGATTCAGCTGAGCTGGGAGTCTGCTGCTTTTCTCTTGGACTCCATCAAGTCCTCGGAGTTGCATCCCGCTCAAGAAACTTTTGATCGTGTCTTGGAGACTTGCCGCAAGGTCAGCAGTTGGGCTCCGGCGCTGGCATACCTGCGACACATGCGAAGGAGTAATTTGGCCCCGGATGCAATACGGTTTGCGTCCGCTGCCCGGGCGCTCTTGAACAAAAACATGGTTGACCAAGCCCTTGCAGTTTTAGGGGAAATGCGGCAATGCAACCTGGACGTGGACGTCTCGGCACGTATCGTGTTCACTGCAGGCATGGGAGCCAGTGCAGGTTCAATGGCCTGGAAACGTGCCGTCCATCTGCTTTGTCAATTCAATGCTGTCGGCTTCGAGGCAGATGTTCAACTCTTGTGTGCCGCTGCAAGTGCATGCAGACGAGCAGACAACTGGAGAGACGTTCTGTACCTGCTTGGCGTGGGTGGCATCGAACTGGATATTACTGCTCACAACGTCGCCGTGAGTTCTTGTGCGTGCGCGCGAGCCTAAGGTTAAAGGTTAAGAGTTTAGAGTGATTGTCTCTTGCAGTAGGCTGTTGCTGCAATGAGAGGTCCTTCAGTGGCAGTGGGCTAGCAACTTACTGAGTACGGAGCTCAGACGAGGTGACAAAGTCAAGGGACCGGCCACGTGACTTGCCTGATGCTTCGAGGTTGCTCGCAGCAGGCTGCTCTGCAGCTTGACAAGTTCACATTGCCATCCTGGATGGGACTGACCTCAAGGTCGCAGGCGCCGCCTTTGCCGTAGGGTCTCCAGGTCAGTCGCAAAGGAATGCCACAAGTGATGACTAACTCAATGTGCGAGCTGCAATGTGCAGGAGGGGATGCTAGCTTTTTCTTGAGCAGGTTGCGATTTTGTGGTCTTGTGCCAGGTCTGCGGCCAGAAAGATTATGGGCGGTCTGATGTTCATCAGGTGGGCACGAAAAGCTGGCAGTCACTCTGTGAGCATGATCTGTGAAGGCTACATCATCGTGGGTCGGAAGGCCCGCTCATGCATCAGAGAGTTCATCCAATGAACACGCGTCCGGGCGGTTGCCCACCGGCCGACAGTTATTTGTCGCATTTGGCATTCTGCTGTCGATGTTGGGTGTTATTGTTGTTCTGCTGGCACTGGGCCCCTGTTGTTGTGCTGCTGTCACGTGGCCCTTCTAAATCTTCATAAGTCTCTTTAAATCATATTAAGTCTTTTTTTGTTGATTTGCTGGCACTTTGCCCCTGTTGGTGTGCTGGTGGCACTTGGCCCGCGTCCTTTTTCTTCTGGCATTTCGCCCCTCTAAACCTTAATATTTGCTCACCCGTTTGATGCCGCGTAAAGTGTAAATCTGATTAAATCTCATTACCTGGGTAACCACAGGTGGCCGGATTTACGCCCCTACGGTTTTTGAGTGTTTTTTACGCACCTTTTGTCCGCATTCGCGAATTTACGCTCTTAACCCTTTTTAAGGTATATAATAGCAATAGAATATGATATGATGACAATAGAAGCATATGACAGGTACCTGCAGGTACTTTGTTGAACCCTCGCAGAAACCCTGGAAAACCCTTGATTCTTAGAGGCTTGTGGAGTAAAACCCATCGACCGTCTTCGGGCTTACAAAGGTCGATCGTTCTTAGGGTCAATTGACGACAGGAATTCCAAATCCCAAAACCATGCGGAAATGAGGAACTTAGGATGATATTCGGAACATTCCTCAAAGTCCAGCTACCACCCCAAAAAGAAAATCACACGAACACTTTCAGAAAACCTCCCCAGCAGCCCATTGGTCCATGGCATTTCCACTGCTGCGAACTGCTGCGATGCTGGCTGCAGAACCAGGCTCGGCCCTTTTAGAGCTGGGATGCGAGCTACACTAGTCCAAAGCTTCATAAGATCTATAAGGTGTTATAAACGAAACAAGCCTTTTCTAGGGGGCTTACAGACCAAGAAGGCATTTCTAGGGGGCTTACAGACCAGTATCTTACTCTAGCAAGCCCAGCTTGTCGGCCAGGGCGGCCATGTATCTGCGCAAAACACGCGAGTGAGGCGCTTTAGGTGAAACTCTGCGAGATAAACGAGCCACATGCCCTATGAAGTCTTCGCACTGAGACGTGCAATTGCCGACAGGGTTGTGCACCATGGAAATCGTGGAATTCTCAGCAGCTCTTCGCAAATCCTCCATGACGTGATGAAGGTAGTGGAGTTTGGGTATGAGGTTGAAGAGAAGCTTTTTCTCTTCCAAAGACCATTGCACCAAGCGCGAGTAGCACAGTAAAAATCTGTAACCGCATTCGGAAGCTTGCATGGCAGAGCACTTGGGCATGAAAGCCCCTTCTGAATAAAGTGTGCGCATTGCCGTTTCCATAGATGCGGAACCTTCAACCAAGTATTTCCAGGGCCTTTGCGAAGTAGAAAGCGAAAGCCTACCTTGCTGGAATGTATGAGCCGATCGAGGGCTGATAACGGGTTTATAGGTCGAGGGCTTATAACTGGTATATATTAGTCTAAACTACAATTAACCACAGGAAAAGCTTAAGGCGGCAAAAGTATTGGGGCCTCTATCAAGATTTAGGATAGAATCGGGTACAGAAAACTTCCGAAACAAGATACCCCCATCCCTACATATCCTTTTCAACTACCACCCTATATAAGCCCTATATAACCAAGCAGGGAGCAAGCGACGGAGCAGCCACGGCACAAAGCCCATCAAAGTCACCGAATCCTGTCCCTTGTTCCAGCCGCCACTGGCATATGTGTTGGGAGTTTTTGCACCAATCAGCTCCAAACTGAGCTTTTGCACATGTAGATTCGTCTTCCGTTCCTTGCAATACGCATTGAGGTACCGGTTCATATATGTCATGTGATCGTCGTTAGAGGTACCGCCGCAATGAGGCAATAACATGCACAGTCCGCTGGCTGCAAATTCCTTGTAGACTCCCATCTGTAGGATATGAAAGAGATCCGCCTTTAAAAAACTCGGTTGGTCAGCTGGGCATACAGGGATGGATCTCAGGATTGTAGGTGCAACAACCCACGGCTGTGGGTTGTGAACCCCCTCGCTTTGCATCCAACTGGCATCCCTGGCAAAGCTTTCGAACGGAACTTCCGGGGTGCCTGCCAGGCACCACGGGCAACAGCCCACGAGTGCCTTTGAATTGGCAGTTTTGGGTTTCTTACGAACACGGGTGAAGGATCGCACCAGATTAGCGGCCTTAGCCTGAAACACCAAATCCCCCTTCAAGCCCAGCGGCATAAACCTCCAGATCTGTCCCTGGAACTCATAGCCATTCTCCCAAAGATCCCCGAACCAGTCCGAAATAAAGCCAAGGAGGGACTGAAGAGGTGTAGAATCCTCGATGTAGTACTTCTTCAAGAGCACACTCATCAGATACCTTGTAGCCAGACTATGCCCCAACAGGTTCACCGCAGCAGCATCAATGTCACCCGGAAGTTTGCGCTTGTTGCTGGAAGTCTTCGTCTTGGACGTCCCGGCCCCTATCGCAGGCTGCCACTGAAGGATCATGAGTTCGGATTTTTTGTAGGTGCGGCCACCGTCGCCGTGTAGAATTAGAGGCACAAGGTGTTCTGTGTCCAGGTCATTCATTGCTGCAATAGGATGGGTGGCGAATTCCTTCTTGAAATTGCACCAAAAATCCTTGAGTACTGCCGGTGCAGATGCCAGCTCCACACCCACAACACAGTGGAAGCGATTCAGCTGTGCCATAGTATCTATGAAATCCTTTGGACGAAAGCAAGGATGTTGCTCGAGTGGGCCATCTCCGATATTGACGTATGTCCATGGTACTGTCACCAGAAGTTTCGTCTTTAGCAGAGCATTGTAGACACCCGACTCCTCGTGACCATTTGCGGTATCAGCTACAGCTTTGCAAGCAGCACACAAAAGATCCCCATCTCGCTGGGAGGCTCTGGCTCTCTGGACGATGTCCTTGGCCGGGACCTGGGCGAGCAGCGTCTCGTCTTTGCAGAGTGTCACTTAAACTAACCCTAACCCTAAACCCTTATAAACCCTATAAACCCTATAAACCCTATAAACCCTATAAACCCTATAAACCCTAAACCCTAAACAACCCTAAACCCCTAAACCACTAATAAACCCTAAACCCGTGATTCCAGCGGCGAATCCTAAAACTTGTGTTTTCTTGATCTATATACGTGTACGAGATTGGGGTTGGATCACATCAAGGCACTCATGGTTTTGAGGGGTCTCTTAATTGTTTTATAATGGTTTCGGTAGAATATTCATGGTTGAGTGAGGGTTTCTTGAGGTTGCCGGGGGCCCGATCCTAAGTTAAGCCTTTTGCATACCCATGGCCCGGAATCCTTAAGTAATCTGGCTCACGAACACACCAGTTTGCGCAAACCAAAGCCCTGAGTTGAGCATTGGGGATCTATAGGAAATCGGGTTTCAGGTTGCGCACCGTCAAGCAATCAAGTCCAGGACTCAAGAGGGATCGGGGTTGCTTTCACGATAGATAAGGACCGTAATATTACGCCACAAAACCCTCTAGAAGAGACTTCATCGACACATTCACACACCTAAGACCCCAGCACCTTTGCCGTAGCTCCGCACGTAGTCACGTGCTTTGTTGGTCGCTTCGCTGAAGCATTCCAAACCTGGCATACACGATACTGTCCACGGTTCCCACACACACACACTCGAGGACACAGTCATTCAGAATTCATGCTTCAACAGCATATTGCGTAAGGACCATGCAGTCACAGCTGAACAGTTGCATCGGCAGACAAAAGCACATGCAGATGTTTTCGATTCGCAGACAGGATCCTGCTAACATCTCACGAAGCATCGGCAAGGCTTTCGATAGCACTGAGCCTCAAAACTCCTGATCAGTATGTATCAGGCTCTGCAAAAGTGTTAGGCTGCTTTTGCCTTGCTTTTAGCCTTGCCCTTGGCCTTTTTGGGCTGCGGCTCAGGTTTCTCCTTGTCGTCTGTGTCCTTCCGCTTGAGGGACCTTGGGGGGTTTACACGGGAATTTCTTTATAAGGGCCCCGAAAACCCTAAACCCTTTTCAATTCTTGGTCAAGGTACTTGTTCTTGAGCTCACAAGATACCGCGAGAACACACCTCAGCTGCTGCATTTGTGCATGCTGGCCAACTATATACATGCAAGTCTTTTTCGCTACCTACTTGCAGCAACCATTGATCAGCTAAGAGTTGCGCTGCCGCTTTACAGCTTTGATCTTCTCCTCCAGCTGCTGCTTCAACCTAAGTTCTCTAGAAGTATACAAGTATTCGGTTTACAAGGCCACTAACCTGCTAGTGCGACAGAGAAGCTTGTCGTTCATACCGTTAACCTTAACCTCAGCCTGGATCCCAGCAAGGTCATCGTAGAGCTCGCTGAGCTTGGTCATGCACTCGTCCATGCTCTTGATATCCCTGGGCTGCTGCTTCCAGGGACATTATCATTGGGGCGGAAGCTTTGGCCCGCATTATTACGCAGGAAAGGATCTTGGGGTTGCCACCCTCTTTCTTCAGCTTTCCAACGAGTTTGTCCAAACTCTTACGAGTCTGGATAGCCTCGTCCATGATCTTCGCTACGGCAAGCTCGCCCTGTAGAGGATGGTTGGAACAAACTATTGTGGAGACCTCATGCAACATAACGAAATACCCAGGCCTGGTCATTCTCCTTTCGAAGCCCCGGAGCCCCCGACCCTTCAACAGGAAGCTCTGGCATAGGATCACCATTGATGGCCGGCATAGCAAACCCCTTGGCACCCGTAGTGTCAGCCTTACGGCTTTCCAGGACACCGTCGGTTTCCGAATATCCGCGGCTGCCTTCCGTCCGGAAATCCACCCAGTACTCCAGCTCCTCGGAGTCGTACTGGTTGGACCTGGGAAGGGTATCGTTTCACCACGTGAAAGCTCATGATTCAGGGCTTTGGGGTTTATTTGCCGGGAAAATTATATAGGGCTATGCTAATTGTTTTATGGTTTCCACTGAAAGTGTAGTTCTGATTGGGTTGCCCACCTGTGCGACTGAATTCAAGGCCCCGCACCAAAGAACGAAACCTCCAATCTTGTTCTATGTATGTTTGAAACTGAGACCGGCCACCGAACGTAGCCATGCTTCTCACAGAATTCTTTCACCTTTTGCACTTTTCGCCTCAGCTAACCAAAAAGCAGACAGGGTGTTCACAACCGGGGTGGGTGCGAGGCGACGAAGACATGCTAGTGCAACAGAAGCACGCAGTGTAGGCCAATCCTCCCTCACTCACAGGCTTTCGCATATCCTGCTCGGAAAACCAGCCGCCCTTTGTAGTCATCCTTTTGAATTGCTCTGTTTTGCGCCACGATTCGACCTTGGACTGGAAGTCCGCCTCGTGGCATCCCTCTCTCTCTCTCTCGGTCTCTGTGTCTCTGTCTCTGTCTCTCTCTCTCTCTCTCTCTCTCTCTCTCTCTTTCTCGCCGTGCCTTGTCACCATCTGCCTCGATCATTAGTTTGACGAGCTGGGTACGTTTGTACCCCTTCTGTCTCCAGTCATCGACCAGGTCCGGGGCCGCAGAAATTTTCCCACTCGCGGCAGTGGGAGTACACATCCTTCTGATCTTAGCTTCCATGCGGGCATACAGTTTCTTGTACACAGCACTCTGCTCTACCTCGTCATCCTCGTCAGGCTCTTGTGCACCCCCTGAACCAACATCGGCCGGTTCCTTTTCCCTTGGCACGACAGCCAAGGAAGGCCCTGGCCGCCCTGCATTTTCCACGGGAGGCGGGCTCATGGTTTGCGTCTGCTCACTGACAGCAAGTGATGTCACCGAATCGTTCCGGCTGGGTCCTGACTTCTGTTCCGAAGCCTAGGTTCGTGCAGGATAAAGCACCAATGGAAGCCAGGGTCTTAATAGCATATTTATGAATGCGACTGGAGAGCAGAGCTCGTAACAGAGGCTGGTGCAAACATACTCGGCGTGGCAGGCATTGCCTTCTTCAGGTTTGCAATAATCTCGTAGAGCTGCTTCTCGCGAGCCTAGGCGAAATTGATTTCCTTAACATCAGTGAGAACACGATTACCACCGCAATTGCGCAATTCTTGACATACGTATGGATGACCGATTACACTGATTGTTACATCCACGAAAGACGATCATTGGTGGCCCATCTGCATTTTACTCTGAGACATCGGCGGTTGTAGGAGCTGGCAACCCATCCAAATCCATCATGGCCTCGGTCTAGGGTTTATAGGGTTATAGGGTTTATAGTAGGGTTTATATGGTTTACAGGGATAGGATCCCACAGTTGTATGCATGAAAGGCCTGGCCTGCGCCTCTGCGGACACCTCTGTCGACGGGGCGGCCTCTCCGAAGCTTGGGAGTCTTGGGATATAGGGTTGAAAAGAAGTATATGGGTACGGTTGGTCAATGTCGGGCTTTGGGGGCCTGCTTTGTGGGACCCTTTAACACTGTATTTCGATCGAATTGAAGGGAATCCGAGACTCTTTGATTGCCCAGGTGACTCGGGATACTGTTGTTTTAGCCGGGTAGCAATCGACACATGCTTTACCGACCTGTATGATCTGTTTACAATCCTTCATATTACCTATCAAGACTTTGTTGAAACCCTAGATTTTTCTTTATACCTACTCAGGACCTGTGTGTAATCATATATGCTCAGAGGGTTTAGGGTTTGGGGGTTTGGGGTTTAGGGGTTTGGGGTTTTCGGGTCGGGGGTTTAGGGTTTAGGGTTTGGGGGTTTAGGGTTTAGGGGTAGGGGTTTGGGGTTTTCGGGTTTGGGGTTTTGGGCGGGGGTTTAGGATTGGGGGGTTTGGTGGTTTAGGGTTTAGGGGTTGGGGGTTTTCGTGTTTCGGGTTTAGGATATAGCCCTTCGGTTACAAGTGGCCTTCCTCGGAATCTGCTGCGCATTCGGAGCATCCAGGGTCGTCTTTGCGGGACCAACCTCAAAGTAAGGAAAGCAGGGCTGATAAGGTCTTTAGGGGCTTGATTTTAATTTAAGGATATATAGGGTGATAGACATGTAATCGTTGAGGCTGTCGGGGCGCTTTCTTTTCTGTGGAGGATTTGGTTGGGTTTGGCTCCATTGGTAGCCTACATGTGTCACTGAATACAATTGGTCATGGTAACTCACAACAACTACGGTTATAAGTCATGACCCTCACACGAATTATGTGTTTCTAGACTCGGGGGCTCTATGCAACCCCTGTGCACATCAGCGGGCTTTGGCTTATCCAACAATGATCACTTCAAAAGGGTTCATGTCGTAACCTCCGAAAACACAAGTTTCTCAATATGACACAATTAGGCAAGTCCAAGCCACAACCCAAAACCACAACCTATAACTATATAAGGTTATATAGGTAGGATGATACAGCTCCACGAACCCATAACCCCGAGAGTCGAGTTTTAGCCTCGAGAACCAATGCTATTGCCACTACAGTTACTTCGGGGAGATATGTATCTGCATAAATCTTATATCATAATCTCAGGTTCTCGATCAGTACCATCGACGATTCCATTGATGATGAGGCCAGACACAAAAGTTTGAGGAGCACGCGGTGTTGTCGGGAGGTGAAGGCTTCGGTGCCTGCAACAGAGACAGAGAAAGAGCGAGAGAGAGAGAGAGAGGTCTTGAAAAACATAAAGCCACGCTCCATCCTGGGTGTCATTCGGTCGGGTCTCCTGGGACAAAGCACAGAGTGGTTTCTGAGGATCATATTTTGTCTGAGAAGATAACAGAGTCCTCTGGCACGGCTTTAGCTTCTGGGCACGGCACCTTAGAAGCTCGCAGAAGCACATATGGATCCGAGATACACATGGGAATTTTAGCATCGCACGGAAGCTTTGGCAGAGGAAGGCTCTGCCAGTGCAGGGGGCGCCTGTCGCAAACACAGAGATAACGAGCAAATCAGAGAGAATGAGATAAGCAGGTCAAGCAACACAGCACCGTCCTGGGTGTCATTCGCTTGGGTCTCCTCGATGGCGCAACATCAAAACATGGCATAATCTTAAGCTGTTTCGGGCCTCAAGTTGCGTAGCCTCCACGGTGTTCTTCGGGCATGGCTCCTTAAGTGTCTGCATGAAATAAAAGACCAGGATGCAGAGCATGGTTTGAGGAGCACACGGGAGCTTTGCCGGAAGGCGGCATTGGTGCCTGCAGCACAGCCATGCAGAGATAAAAAGACAGAAAGATAACAGGTATATAATGTGTCCACAGAGAGAAAAAGAGAGAGAGAGAGAGAGACACGATAGGGCGAGAGCATGCACACAGTATTTAGGGGGGAGGCAAGAAATTCTAGAGAGAGAGAGAGAGAGAGAGAGAGAGAGAGAGAGAGACAGAGAGAGAGTTAATGATTCCATCTTGCTTCGACTTGTGCATGGGGCCTGGGTTTGCGTAGGCTCCTCTGGATCCTCACAAGAGTGGGGCATCATGACATATATGTCAATGAACTATGCAGATCTGCTTAGGGCAGCCACCGTTTTGATTGGGGCCATCCCGAGCTTTCGTCGCAGTTCCTGCCAGGATTCGATTGGTCTCATTACAAAGTATGATCGTTCCCCACATGCACCAATAACCTTTCCTCCACACGCTTTTGCAGCTCGTTCGGGTCGTCGGGCAGCGCTTGCTCTTGCTTTACGAAGGCAGCAAACATGCCTTGCGACCCGGCAGCCAACGAAGAACCCGACCAGGCTTTACTCAAAAACGTTTGGGGCTGCCTCTGCATGTTGAGCCCACTATATCCATGCCTGCAGACCTGGGTGAGATGGACACCAGAACGGCTTCGGGCTTGCTGCTGCCTGGTATGAAATTACGGTATATATTCTACGCTTTTTTATGCCCTTTCTACGCCTTTCCTACGCTTTTCCTACGCTTATTTATGTCCCCTTTGGCGTGGGGTTTCCTGGAATTTACGCTCTTTTCGGCTTTGAATTTATGCCCCTTTAGGTTTCCTGGTTAAATTACGCTAATTACGCTCTTTACGGCGGCCTGTTTACGCTTTTTTCTGGGTAATTTACGCTCTTTTCGGCTCTGGGTCTCTGGGGCCCTTGGATATTTATGGCCTTTGGGTCCTGTAGGGTCGGGTTTGGGCTAAATTTATGGCCTTTTGGGTTTATTGAGGGGACCGACTCATGACACGATTTATGGCCTTTTGGCTGGTTTTACGCTCTCAGGTTCCGAAACCGCACAAAAACTTGATTGTCCTAGGATCAACCAATGAAGTCACGAACCCACCCAACTTAAACCCTACGGAGGCCCCAAAATCGGACAAAGGTAGCCAAGTAGTCCCCATTGGCCCCGAAGATTGCAGCCGAGCAGTGACAATCAACTGGCCATTTTTGGCTCCACCGTGCAGATCCATTTGCTGGCGGCACTATTATAACTTCTTAGGCAAAACCTGTCTCCATTCCTCAGGGATCTCTAAACATCGGCAGCCTCGGAGGTAGTGTGCAACTGTGATTAAGTCAGCATCCTCACAAGCATCGTCGTCATCCATCGACTGAAACAGCAACAAAGCTTCGCTGGGTTTCTTCTCCTGGAGGACGTACTGGCTTTCACACATAACCCTCTCGCCCAGCTCCATAATCTCCAAAGCTCTTCTCGAGAACTCACGAGTATAAATCCTTGGAGATGAAGATCGAAACTAGGATTGCAACGAAAACTTGTCGAATGTGCCTCATCATGGAATGTGTGCTATGAACAGCAGCCAAGAGTCCCGGTATCAGTCAAATTGCGGTTCCCCTGGAAACACTCCTTTCCCCTCTCGTTGATGTAGCGCTTCGTCGTCTTGTAGCTTGGGTCTGCTGTGCCACGTTCAATCCTCTTACTTGTGAAGAACAGACTTATAAGCTTCGAGTTGCTCCAGAGGCTGCAGCGCTTCGCGGTGCGGGAGCCAAAGGCGGCCATCCAAAGATCCAGACGATAAACCTCGGCCGCACAGGAGAAGGGGTTGTAATATAGGTAATATAGTAGTAGTAGTAGTACCCGGCGGCTCGAAATCCGGATCCGGCCGGGTAGGTAGGTAAGTGGGTCGGTAGGTAGGTAGGTAGGTAGGTAAGGTTAGGTTAGGTTAGGTTAGGTTAGGTTAGGTTAGGTTAGGGTTAGGGTTAGGGTTAGGGTTAGGGTTAGGGTTAGGGTTAGGGTTAGGGTTAGGGTTAGGGTTAGGGTTAGGGTTGGGGTTAGGGTTAGGGTTAGGGTTAGGGTTAGGGCTAGGGTTAGGGTTAGGGTTAGGGTT